ATAAGGTGTAAGCAAATAAAGGAACTATGCTTGGCTGGACTGTTTCACCATTGTTCTTGGGCTGGGCCTGACAAGTACAGACCTACTAAGAGCTAAATATGGACTCCAAAGCAGCAGTCATTCAGTCTTGTTAGAGTTAAGTCTCAACCTGTTTCTTACCATTCAGACCCTTATAGCCTCAAGACTCCAGGACAAGCCTTCCACCATATCATCTGGTTGGCTTGGGATAGAAATGTAAAGCTGTGTATCAACAGTGCATTGATGATATTGTACCCCAAATGGTCATTTGGGAAAGAGGGTCAAACCCTGTGGGTACCCCCTACTGGACTATCCTAGGGCTTGACCTCTTCCCCCATGTATAACTGGAACCATCTATTCAGGAAGGAGTAGAATCACTGTTAAATTGTGTCCCCAGTTCCTAATCCTTGCTAGTAGTCCAGAAGGCTGCTATGGTTGATGATATTGAAGGCTCCCAGCAAATCCAGCAAGTCTAATAAGATCATGCTCTCCCCATCCATGTCCTGCTGTAAGTCATCAGTAAGAACAACCAGTGTAGTTTCTGTTCATTGCCCAGGCCTGAATCCTGATTGAAAAGGGTCAGGTAATCCTTTCTCTGGGTTCTTTTGTAACTGCCATCCCACCACTTTCTCACCAGGAATAGAAGGTTGGAGATGGGTTGATAGTTATGCAATATAGTTGGATCTAAAGCAATAAATCAATGAACAAGTATAACATTTTTGACTGATTTGTTTAATTGGGTTCTCTTTACCTAGTTTTAGGACTTGTGTGGAGAACAGATCATGTTTTAGGCCATATTTATGCAGAAATATTGAAAAACTAAAAGGGTTCACAAACTTTTAAGCACCACTGTAGTTTAAAGGTATCATAACAATGGAAACTATATAGGGACACAGTAACTAAAATAATATGTAGTGTATATTTTCTGGATTTATAAAGAACATACAACAACTCAGAATTGGTCAAGAAAGATATGGTAGACAGTGCTAATTTATAAATAGATATGCTACTTAAAATACTGGATGGTTTAGAAATGCCTTAGATTGATATTTACTTCATCTTATTAGAATATTATATAAAATATATCCATATAATATTTCTAGGCATATCTATTCGATTTCAATTACATTACTGATCTGTATAAAGTTCTTATTTTAAATTACAGATGCAGTAAATAAATCAATATCAACTATATTTATTACTTTGTTTTCTTCAGGAAGTATTTATTTTAAAGAATATAATTAACAACCAAATGAATGTTGATTATGCTTATTAAATAGCTTATTGTCAAAAGCCTTTATTGCTTATATTAAATTGAAATTTGATCTTTATATTTTAGGGGTCCAGGAGGTGGTAGACCTTGGCCAAACCCTACAAATGCCAATTCTGTGAGTAAATATTCATATGAAGTGTTGTCCTATTAGAAGGAAGTGAGAGTAAATTAATTAAAACATGTTAATCAGTTTAAACATTAAACATGTTGCTCGGTTTATAATTTTCTCCACATAGTAACTGTCTGGTTAACAGTAGTGTGAGTTTTTATAAACCCAAAGGGTCTTTTCAGAGATTGTACTTGGTCTTCCAACAGATGGTAAAGATCACTCTATTTCAGAGGCTTTGGATAATCAGTTTAACTACAGGTAGTCCTCAACATAAGACCACAATAGAGACCAGAAAATTCATCGTTGAGCGGTGTGGTCAGTAAGCAAGATATCACATGACCACAACTGATTTTACAACTTTTTTTGCAGTGGTTGTTAAGCAAATCACAATCATTAAGTGAATCACATGGATGTTCTCCCCTCCATCTCTCTTTTTTTGGCCGTCTGCCTAACCACCACCACCAGTTGCCCCTGCCACCTCGCCCTGCCCGCCGCACCACGCATCATTACTGTACTAGCGAGGGCCTTCTTTCACACTGCCTTCTTTCGCGCCAGCTCAGCCAGGGCTTTTCTCATGCCCCGCCGGGGCCTCCATTTGCCCCCTGCTCATGGCCTTCTTTCACTGGCGCACAAAAGACAGCCCTAGCTGCACCAGCGCAAAAGAAGGACCTGGCCAGAAGACCCCAGACATGGCACAAGAGAAGCCCTGGGTGTACCAGCATGAAAGAAGGCAGTGTGAAAGAAGACCCAGGCTACTACAGTTGTGGTGTGAATGGAGGCCCTGGCTGGCACATGATCAGAGGCCCCGGGTGGGGCACAAGAGAGGCCCCAGCTGCACCGGCATGAAAAAAGGTGGCACAAAAGAAGGCCCGGGCTGCCACAGTACTGGCACGCAGTGTGTGACAGAAGGGGGCAGTGGGTAAGCAGGCAGCCAAAAGGTGGTTGTAATGTGGGTGGGCCCAAGTGGACTCACATTTTGTTCACATGACTGCGGGGTGATTCGGGAGCTGGTCATAAATCCCTTCGTTCAGCACTGTCGTAACTTTGAACAGTCACTGAACAAATGGACATTAAGCAAGGACTACCTGTAATTCCATATGACTGATGTTTCAGTAATAACATTCCCTTTTTTAATACACCCATTCTTTCTGTTAATTGTATTAAAAGTCATATAGTGAATTTCTTCTCTGTGAAATCTAACTTTAAAATAATAAAGAATATTTATAAAACCTTGTTATTCCATCTGAAAAGAATAGCCTAGTTTTATTGTGTTACTTTCTTTTAGATACCATATTCTTCTGCTTCACCTGGGAATTATGTAGTGAGTATGTGTGTGTGTACATTTTTGTGTGTGTTGCTCATTAGCATGCATACATCATTCTGTTCAATTTAAAAAATAGATGTTCAATTGCTGAAGAAAAAACATGAGAACATCAGTTATGTCTGCCATGTATTTCTAGTATATTGATTGTTGATTGTTATTAGCAGAACAGTTAATTAGATGGAGAAATATTGCATACGGCAAAAAAAAAATCATGTGGGTTTCTTAGGCTGCCACATCCAAGAATACCTTATAAGATAGGTTTTTCTTTTTCTTGTCATGTTGAAGATAGAATTATGATTGTGGGAAAGGAGCACTAATTTCTAATGTTTGCTTCTGTTACAAGAAGCTAAATTTGCCATTTGGTGAATGGGAGAAAAAAAGGCAGAAGTCCAAAAAATGTAAGTTCAACCTCATGATTATAAAAGGTAGAAAAGACAACATAAAGAGAATATTAGAGCAGCCTTCAAGATAAAAGGTTAATAGGAAGGTATGTGTTCAAGTTTAAAGCAGGATAATGAGGAGAGATGCTAGCAAAGTTCTTTTGAAAGAATTTAGCTAGATTTTATGGAAGATCAGAGCTAACTAGAGAGAAAAGAAAGTACCACTGGCCCATGGGTTGGAGTCTCAAGTCTTTTCCCTCATAATGTGCTTTATTTATCCCTCTATCCATTCATCTATCCCCTGTTCAGCCAAGCCAGTTGTGCAATTTTCATTGATTGTGGCTGCTTCAGCTTCAGTTTAAAGGGAGAAAAGAGCCTGTAATTATTTATCCAGCCAGGCACTCTATAGCCAATAGACTGAGGCCAGGAATGTGGACAGACACTTCATTTAAGCTTCCATATATGCTATCAGAGAATAGCCTAACCAAATCTTAAGGGATTTGTCTCATTTTTAGTCAGGCCCTCACACTCATGTAATACTTAGGTGCTGGAAAAACTGCTGACCTAATAGGAAGATTTTTTTCCCCTTATGTCCAAATTTAGTGGTGGTGAAGAAGGAACAGAACCATAGAGATAAGAGTTAATGTGCTCCACCTTGTAAACTTTGATCACCCTGACAAATCAGTTCTTCACTCATACCACTTACCATGCTACCCACCATGGATAAGCCTTTCATTGAAGTTTCAGGCCAAGACATGGGATAGGATAGAAGCCACATTAATCATGGATGACCTATGGCAGGTCCTGAGTGGGCAAAATGTGATCCTCCTTACTGTGTTGGATCTCTCAGTCCCCTTCATTCTGAATTGCCTGAAAGAGTTGGGGCTACTGTTCTGTGGTGATTCCACTTCTTCCTGAATCGGTAATTCCCATCAGTAGTTGAGGAAAAGAGAGGTTGAACTTTTAGGTACTCCACTAGGTGATGCCCCAGGGATTAGCAGTCTTTCCTATTTTATTCCCCATCTATGAGAAGCTATGTGAAGATGAGGTGTCACCAGTATGCAGATGATATCAAGCTCTGTATTTCCACTCTGGGCTCATGGTAGAAGTCTTGACTCAGTGCCTGGAGGCTCTCAGAGTATGGATGAAGTAAAACTGGCTCAGGGTCAACCCAAGCTCAGTTTGATTCAAAAACTGAGCAATTCTAGGGCACGTCCAACTTAGGCTCTTGAAAGAGTTGTACTTTCCTTGAGAGAGAAGGCTTGCAATATAGACGCACTTCTGAATTGCTAAACGAGGAGGTGGAGACCGTGGCCAGGAAGGTCTTTGCTCACTTTGGTTGGTGCTCCATTTGTGGTCTTTCCTGGAACTAGGGCACTAGTGATGGTCACCTATGCCATTGTCATTTTTCAACTGAACTACTGCAACCCATTCTATATGGGGCTGCCCTTGAAGATCATCCACAAACACAAACTGATGCAGAACACTACCCATTTGTTAATTAATCAAACCCATTATTGTCATATTATACCTTTATTATAGCAGTTCCACTGGCAATTGAATGGACTGGATGCAATTCAAGGCGTCATTATTATCTATAAAACTCTCTATGGCTTAGGGCCCTGTTACTTTCTGTCTGTCTGTCTGAATTTTTCAGTGTAGTAAAAACATACGGAACAAAAAAAAGCTAAGTCAGAAAATAAGAAATAGAGAAAAAGGAAAGAAATAAGAAAAAGAAAAAACATACAATTATGCCTTCCACCCTTCTTTCTATGGAGTAATTATCATCTTAATCTTTTCCCCAACCTCTTTGTCCCTTTTTAATCCCCAAATCCTGAAATCATCATTTTGATTTTTTTCTTCTTTCAGCAAAACGTCCCAGGCCCTGTTATTTTTAAGATGGCCAAATCCAAGTAGAATCTGCTCACCTACTTCATGCAAGCAGAAAAAGCATGTTGAAAGTCCTTGCCTATGAGGAAATCCAATGGCTCATAAACAATTGTTCTTGGTTGGGATCCTCTTCCTTTGGAATAGCTTGCCCTGGAGGCAAGACTGACCCTTCCAGTGATGATAATCAGACCTGATATTCCATAGAGATTTAGGGACTGAAGGAATTATGTACCTTGCTATGGGTGGATTTTGTTTTACCTTGTTTTAAGATGGTGATTGACCCAAATATTCTAAACTAAATCTAATCTATGTACTCTTGGAATGTTTGCCCTGAGTGTAAGAGGTAGTGGTGTGGGTACCATAAGGAACTAATTATCATGATCTATAATAATTAGACTCACATATGTGAGATGAGTGGCTATATAAATTTAATAAATAGCTGACTTCTTTTGTTTATTTTGTTTATTGTATTCTTCAATACAATAGGGTTGTATTGAAAAATCATGTAGTGATAGGAAAAGTTTTTCCTGTAAACCTAATTGCTACATGACAGTGACTTGGGGAAAGGATGAGATTATTATATCCCAGCATGGCAGTTATGTTGCTAGAGATGAGAAATATCTTCTAGCATCAGTGGAATCGCTTTTTCTAACCCTACTTAAGTTGGTTGTCAATTAATTTATTCCGGGCAGGCATGAGAGCAGCCTTTCTCAACCTTAGTACCCTGGAGGAATCCTTGAAATGGTGGTCAGGTCTTAGGAAAACTACTTGTATGTGTATCTTTGGTGGCTCCATTAAACTTTGTATATCTCCCCATCCTGAATTATGGTGCTTGGTAAGAGGAGCTATGTGTGTATCTTTCTAGGTTGCTCTCCTTGGGTTGTTGTATATCTATGCATGTAGTGAGGTAACAGGAAACAAGAGAGAAAAGAGAGACTCATTATTGTCATATCATACTTTATAGTGACCTTCCTCTGTGTGTTACCATATTCTCTTGCAGTCTTTTCAAGGCTAAGCATCCCCAGTTTCTTCAACCTCTCTTCAAAGATATTTAACATTTGATATTTTTCCTCCATTTTGTATATCACTCTTTGCAGGATCCCTCTATCTCCCAACATCCCAATCCTTGGTCCATTCTCCCCTTTCCCTCATCCTTACTCTCATACCAATTCCTGTCTTCCTCCTTCTCTCACACAGTACTCTTCTTTCTTTCCTCTGTCTCATTCTGCATCCCTTACTTGGGTCTTTCCCAACTGGATGCCGTTCTCTATCAACTTGCCCATTGTCTATCCAAATCATGAGACAGTTAAAGTTTCATTTGAATTTATGGAGCAATTATGGTTGATGAATGGGAATAATCAGATAAAGAGGAATTAACCTGATTTTGGAAAAGAATCTGTATAGGAAATTAGAACAGATGGCCCCTTGAAGTTGGTCTGCTTTGGGAATAGTTCTGTGAAATTTGGTTTTGGTGCAAAAGATTTATTTGTAAAAGCTCTTGAGTACCCAGGTATATTGGGGATTACATTTTTCACACTTATTTAAAGGTATTGTGATTCAACATCTATCTATAACAGACTTATGGGGATAACATTGTAAAAACATAAGCATATAAAACTCATAAAACCATAAACAGTAAAACAATCAGTAATGACAAACTCTATCATCTTCCAAGAGGACTCTAGAAAAACTCAAGTTTCAGCCAGTGTCTGGAATACCATTAAGGTGGGCACCAACGTAGACTCAGGGAGAAGACTGTTCTATAAAATTAAGGCCATCACAGAAAAGACTGTCTCTGGGCCCCAACCCTCCCTCACCTCCCAGAGAACAGGAACAATGAACAACTTTTCCCAGGAAGAAGACAGGTCAATTCCACTTGAATCAAATTAAGGAAGAACTATGGATTTGATGGTGGTGATGATCTGGTGGTAGAATACATATTAGTTGAATAATTTATTTTGCAGGGCAATTTAGGTTTTCTTGCTGGAAGAAGCAGATCTTTGAGTGACTTTGTACCTACGGGTTACCATTTGGGAAATGACATGATAAGCATATCAGAATAAATAAATGAAATTGGGGAAGCGGTTTAAAAGTTTTGTTGTTTAATCAAATCTTTTAATTATGTTGCTTATACTATATTTGTGTGTGTGTGTGCATGTTACTGATTTGCCTTTTTTTTTAAGGGTCCACCAGGAGGTGGAGGGCCACCTGGAACACCCATCATGCCTAGTCCAGCAGGTAGGTAACTTTAATGAAGGAAAGAAAAGGCAATGTTGACATAGCAATAGTTTAATGTTTGCTTAACATTTCAATAGCTTTGTCAGAATTCTCAACCACTGTATATTCTTACAGAACTTGGTAGATTTTCGATATCCTTACTTTACTTGAATATAACACACAATGTTTTTACAGGAAACTGTCAAAGTTATTATCAGCCATAACTCTCAGTCTGGGAGAGAATTCCTTAATTTTCCCAGTATAATGAACACAAATTGTTATGGCTGCCAGTATCACAGGGAATAGCAACATTTTACTGCCTAAAAATCCTTTAAAAGAGTCAGCAAGAATATCTTTAAATATAATGTCAAATTAACCTACAGTATTTTTTTTTGTTGAATTGTCATACTTGCCTAAAAATGGCTTTAATGCAAAGCTACCAAATAGTGTGTAGTTTCCTTTATCTTGTCTACATTTTCAGAATGCCTTATTATTTCATTCACTCTGAGAGTATTTTTCTCAAACATAATAGTGAATATAAAACAAAAATACCACTATTTTACTACTATATTTATCTGAAAAAATGACTCTAAATTTAAGATAATTCCCTGAAAAGAAAAAGATACTTACAAAAGCTAATTGGCTTCATAGTCTTTTTTCTTTTTCTTTTTTTAATGCCTTTGAGTCAGTCTTGACTCCTGGCGACTCGCTGGACAAATCCCTGCAGTTTTCTTGGCGAGGTTTTTCAGAAGTGGTTTGCCATTGCATGCTTCCTAGGGCTGAGAGAAAGTGACTGGCCCAAGGTCACCCAGCTGGCTTTATGCCTAAAATAGGACTGGAACTCACTGTCTCCCGGTTTCTAGCCTGATGCCTTAACCACTACACCAAACTAGTTCTCTTCATAGTCTTACTAACCTAAAATGACTCTCTTATTAAATTTACATTATTTGGAAGCAAAACTAGTTTTTCTTTTTTTCAGATAAATACATTACTTGTCTGATTTTCTATTTTTTGCACAAAATATATGGATTAATTTATTTTTTAATAGTTAAATATATATATTTAATAGTTTCAATATAGGCTAATGCACTGAGATGTTCCCAAACAAAAATTTTAAAACTGAATACTTATATTCCTCATGCTATATTCTCATTCATGTCTTGACACCTTTTTGTATTTTATGAATAAAATACATACACAAATTATCTACAACCCCAGGACCTCTTTGCCTTTAATCCAACAATTTCCCTTAGTTATGGAATACTTTATAGCCATTTTCTCTCTTTTTCCAGTTTTCCCATTTTGAAAGTTCACATCCTACTTTACAATGTCATTGGTCTGGCTCTACAACTAATAAAGTGCTTAGTCGTGATTCATTAGGAAAACCTCTATGGCCTTTTGCTCTGAGTGATCTGGATTCTAATCCATAGTTATTAATCTGTAATAAATTCTACTACAGGTGGCTGTGGATATTGTGAAATATCTTACACACGATTTATGGAATGTTAATAATAATCCAGTTGGAAAGCAGTACTGGAATGTCTTTTGTTAAATATAAGAGTTAATTATATTCATTGATTTCATTGAAAGTGCTTAGTTTCTAACAGCAATTTTTGTTTTCAGATTCAACCAACTCTGGAGATAACATGTACACTTTAATGAATGCAGTACCTCCTGGACCCAACAGACCTAATGTAAATAACAGGAGTAAATACATACATTTGAACTTATGCCTGATTCCCCAAATCCATTATTTATTTATAATTATATATACATATCTGTCTGTCTATCTATCCATCCATCCATCCATCCATCCATCTATTGCATTGAGTATTTATTTATCATAGAGATATCAAAGACCTTTTCTTAACTTCTTTATTACTTCCTGTGAGTTGTATTTTTTTCTATCACAATTTTTTCCTCTTTGTTGTAAATTATTTATTAACATTTTGGAGTATGATGCATTTGCCTTTTTTGCAGTTTCCAATGGGACCAGGGTCTGATGGTCCAATGGGTGGATTAAGTGGAATGGATTCACATCATATGAACGGATCATTAGGTAAGGATATGATTTGCCTTTTTAAATCCAGTACTAGGTAACATATCCAGATTAAAAAAATATCATATTGAACCATTTCCATCACTTTTTCAAATTTTGTCTGCAGTTAGAATTTACAAATTAAGATGAAATTAGAAAAAAAAATGTGTGAGGGACATGAAAGGGACATCTTTTGTATTCTTAAATTGTAGATTTTATTCTCTATGCTTTATATGTTAAGCTTTGCTTTAACATGTCCAGGTTCTGAGATAAGTTAAATAAAGTTTAGAAGCTCATGCATCTCTTTTTTAAAGTTAAATAATTGACTTCACATTGCCCAGATCTAGAATACAGACATGTTGAAAAACTTGTTTAATTTAAAGGAAAGTGTTTTTGCCCATTTAGAAAATGGAGAGATTAGTGTGTGAAAAGGCAAAAAGTTAAGGATAAAAAAGGACTAAAGTAAGGATTATTGCTCAAGAAGAATTTTAAAAACAATTACAATAAATATTCAAAATGAATGAAAGCTCAATTTCCTATGGGTGTTAACATGTACTATGAGTGAATTATATAATCTTACAAAAATAAAATGCTTTCAGATAAGTCTATTTTACCCAATAAAAATTCAACTTACGCAATGTGTGAGTTTTTAAAAAAGGTTTTCAGTGAACGGTACTTGTTATATAATTATTGATGATTTTTACAATCTTTGATATGTTTTTCAATGTCTTGTTCCTGTTTTGACCTAGTTGTATGTAGGCCAGCATCACTTTAGAAATGGTGGAATATAAATAATGTAAAATACATTAAAATATGTAATTAAACAATTGGTAATGTTATATCACAAAACATGCCAATGTAATGGAGGAACAGATCCATTATTTTGGGTTGGTCCAGCTGTCTTATGGATCCAACTGGTTTCCAGCAGGCACTTGGCAGATTTCCTAGCTATCAAGCAGACAATTTTGTAAGGAAGCTGGTCAAACTCTGGAACACAGAGGCGCTCAGTAAAGTGGTCCCAAGCAGCCTCTATGAGGGTACCAATCCAGAGTGACTCCTTAGTTTATAGAAGTACCTAAGAAGACCTGTGGGTCTTTGTGAGCATTTTGCTAAGCAGAGTCTCATGAGATGGCAGAAGTAGTGCCTTGCAAGGTTATCTTGGGCTCTTGAGCCTGTAATATCTGATGGTCCTTTGTAGAATCAGCTTAGTCACCTATAAATTAGATCCTTGCCCATCATGGATGAGAAAAGTGGCCAGAGAGAACACAAAAATATGGATCCAATAGGTGGTAAATGTATTTTTAGGAGAGAGGGCAGTGCCACCAGTCTTGCACCTGCTCTCAAAAAGCCATCTCTGGACCCAGCTGATCTCTGGTCATCTTGTTCCTGTTTTGACCTGGTTGTATGCAGGCCAGCATCACTTTAGAAATGGTGGAATATAAATAATGTAAAATACATTTAAAATATATAATTAAACAATTGGTAATGTTATATCACAAAACATGCCAATGTAATGATCATCTGGTCATCATTGTGATGATCTCTGATCTCTGGGATGAGATCTCTGGGATCTCTGATCATCCCAACTGTCAACTGATCTCCAGTCTACTTTCTTGAGAAAGTGGTTGGGTTTCAGTTACACGGGATCATAAATGAGATGGATTATGTGAAACCCTTCACCTGCGGTTGAAGCCTGAGCTTGGAACTAAAATCACATATTGAGAGGGAGTTGATGCATTTCTCCTTGTCCTTTTGGTTTCAACAGTCATCAACCATGGTAACTCTGTGAGAACAGGGTATTAAAGGCACTATAGGCAGTGGTTCCGCTTCTTCCAGGGCAGGCAATTCCAATCAGTGTTTTTGAAGAAAAGGTTCAGCCCTTGGCCACTCAAGTGTGGGGTGGCCCAGGACTTGGTCCTCTCTTCCATCTTATTTAACATCAAAATGAAGCTGCTGGAAAGGTCATTTGTTGGTTTGGGGTCCAGTACATTTAATATGCTAATGATACTCAGCTTTATATCTCAACCCCAGACCAAACAGGAGTTGCTGTGGAAATCCTGACCCAGTGCTTAGAGGCTGTGAGGCTCCAGATGGGGCAAATCAGACTGAGATTGAATCCCAGCAGACTAAGTTACTGTTTGTACAGAAACCCAGTAGTTCCATGGAAGTTCCATCTATTTCTCTTGACAGGATTGCACTGTACCAGAAAGAGCTGGTGTGCAGTTTGGGGGTTCTCTTGGATTAATAGCTTCTGCTGGAATATCAGGTAGAAACTGTAGCCAGGAGCACCTTCATCCAGTTTTGGCATGTCTGCTAGGGGTATCTATGGACTAGGAAGCACAGAAGACTTACACTTTTGTTATCTCTCAGTTAGACTACTACAATTCACTCAACATGGGACTGCCCTCAGGATGACCCAGAAGCTCCAGTTGGCACAGAACAAAGATGCTTACCTGTTGCTCTTGCTAGCCTGTTCAGTAGAATACCACCTATTTCATAACAGCTGCCCTAGTTGGCAGTAGGCTCCAATTCAAGAAGCTGATCCTTACTTGGGCCCTTGTTTGTCACCTTCTTTGGAAAGAATCTAGATAGTCTGGCCAGGAGAGGATGCTGCAAATACCCACCCTTAGAGAGATCAGGGGACTGGAAACCTAGAAAATGCCTTTCTCAGCAGGAGCCCTCTCACTTTGGAACAGCTTATTATCTCAAGCCAGGCTAACCTCCACCCTTTTATTCATCAGCCATCAGGGCTTTTAGGGGTTGAGTTTTAATGGAAGCATGCAGCAACCTTTTAAAAAATATTTAATGATGTAGCATATATAGATTTTATGGATATGTTTAATGTAACTATTGTAAGACATCTAGAGTCATTTGAGTAGGTGGCATTCAAATAATTGTAATAAATAACACACATGCTAACATCAGTGGAAAAGGTATATAAACATTTCAACAATACAGTTTGAGATAGCACTATCAGTGAAGTGCAAAATGAAATAAAACTATCAAACCCTATTCTTTATATAATTTTGGAATTACATAAAGCAATTATTCCTTGCATTCTTTTGACCTCATAGCTTAGGATTTCTAAAAATGTATTTGCTCTCTGAAGAATGGAATTGAAATAATCTGAACAAGAAGTAAAATCTCAGAGCATGTGAGATTCCTAAATCTAAAATCATCAGTATGGCAAAATGAAAGATATTTTAAGATTTAACTGAATGCATAGTCTTAAACTGGTTTAATTAAACTTAGTGTTCTTTTTAATTTAAGGCTCAGGAGATATGGACAGTATCTCCAAAGTAAGTATATATTTTATTTTTAATGTACTTCTTCTAAACAAAATGATTGTTAAAATATGTGTTTTAAAATGAAAGTAGTTTATGCTGATTTTGAGGGCATTGTATAAGAAATATTCTCAATTTTCCTAACAACAAAAATCTGAATATGTACATTGTTTCTGTCTGTGGCTCATGAGCTAAAATCTGATTTTCATTAAAATGTCTGGGTTTTATTGCTAAATTTGTGTCTCAAACAACAGGAATGTAGATATGAGCCTTCTTTCTAAAGACAGGTATAAATGAAATACTCTCATTTTTCCAGGTGATTTTCCTTTGACTTCCTCCTTAAACTATGGGTGACACTAGCTACAGTTTGTTCTTACTTTAAAGTTCACAGTTGACATTTTCAAAGACAATTCTTACATACATATTCATCACATTATCCACTTTCAGGTTAAACAGCAGTATGCAGAATGCAGAAAAGAAGTAAGGAATAGTGAGCAAAAGAAATTAAACTGTTAAAATTAGTTTACACCTATACCCTTCACTATAGCTCTTGGACATTTCTATCCTTATTTCCAGTGCATCCATACACAGCTCCATCATCACAAGTCATTCATGTTCTCAGTCAATTATAGGGCATGTCTGCATGCAAAAGTATATATTCATGCACCCAGCCAAACATCTTTGGTGTCACCACAAACATTCCTTGCACATTTATCCATAATTAAGCAAACAAGGGGACAACACATATCATCTCACTCCCAGCTCAGAGCTGAACCATCCACTAAGCATTTCATTTATTCTCACACATGCCTTACTTCCTTTATATACTGCTCTTATCACTTTCAGCAATCAACTTCCAATCAATATTTGTGCAAAACCTTCCATAATTTAAGCCTATTTACTTTATAATATGCTTTAAGTCAACAAACATATAGTGAAATTTCTTTCTCACATTCATACATTCTCAGTGACTTGCTGAAAAGCAAAAATCTGGTCTATAAACCACTCTTTTCATAATAAAACCACACTGCTCTTAACAGATTTGCTCATTATCACCTCTTTAAATCCAAATTCTGCCATATGCTTCTCCAGGCACACTTAAACAAATCCCTCATAGTTTTTGCATCGTTCCTCTATCTTTTCTTTTATGTAAGGAAATAATAATGACAGGTGACATTCAACAAGTCATACAGCCACTCCATGAGAAAGCCATATCCATATTTTAACATGTCTCCAGTTAAACCATCTATACCTGCAATTTAGCGTACTTGTAGTGTGCATAAATTCCTTTTAACAATTTTGTCTTAGACATTACTTTTATTTTTAATCCCATTCACTGCATTGGATGTATCTTGTTTAGCCCTCTTTACATACTTCCAAAACAATTTTTACTCCTGTCAAAATAATTCTACATCTCCTCTGCCTCTTAAATCACTCCACCTATCTCAAATCACTCCTTACTCTCTTTGTCTATGTCCTTTTTTCTATTTCCCTTTCTCTCATCCTCATTTCATGCAGCATTCTCATGTGTATTTTTCTCATCCAGACATCCTCTATTCATTAGCATAATTTCACACATTTCTGTGACACACTGTAATAAAATTATTTTCACTCTGGTTTCCGTATTCTCTTTCTTTACATCTTTCCATCATTCCCTTGGGAGATTAATCTGTCCTCTAATGCTTTTTTTCATAGAGCCTCATGTTTTTTTTCTTCCTGCATTCATTTTTACTTTCACTTTAGTTCCTATCATATTTTTTCCTTCTATTCCAATTTTTCTCAAAATCTGTTGTTAATACGATGAATAGTTTGTCCCACATTCAAAACTCCTCACCACCCTTGAATCTTTCTCTAATTATCTCAGTCCTTCATCATAAACAATGCAATCAATTAACCTTTAAGATTCATTCCTTTCCTGTGTGTACATATTAAGAGACTAGTATTCAAATACTATGTATTTGAAAGAAACGTCTTTTCAAAGCAACTATTCACAAGTCACCATTCTCATTCTCTTTTGGGTCTCTGCATGACCCAACCACTTTTTCTGTACTCTCTGATGTTGTTCCCACCCCCCATCCTTTCAGAATAAGTATTTCCCCTCTATCAGATTCATTGCATATTTTCCCCCAAACTTATCTCTGTTTTTTCCATTCTTATTATTCACTGGATTATAACATGTAACTACTATCAACCTATAGATTCCTGTTTCATACACACCTGTATTGTAGACAACACCAGTGCATACGTCCTGGCATTCATTTTAGTCCTTTCATTCACCTTCACTTCCCTGCAGGTATCCCCCTTTCTCTTTGATATACAGACGTATAACTTTTTTTTTTCATTTAATTCACTCCTATTATATTCCAACTCACATTTTTCCACATGCTATTGTTGTCACCTGGTAGGCTCATAGATACTGAATTCCATTGGCCATCTTGATCTTGATTCACTCAGGGCTTGAACATAACACTTTATAGCAAGATTAGACTAGATTATCAGCTTTAGTTGCATCTGTACCTTATGCAATATTCCCTAAATATAAGAGTAACTTCAGTTCAATCAACTGTGGGTGCATTTTGACCTGCATTCCACACATACAGTCACAGGTCAGTTTTACCCAAAGTGCCCTTATGCTGTTCTATGTAAGCTAGGATGTCCAATCTAGAGACTTCCTCGCAAGCCAACATATTATTGCCCATATACCACTAACTCTGAGGTATATGCACTACCCTGAAATACTCAGAATGCACGATAATTCCTGGTTAGGGTTCTGATCCTTTTGCATATCCATTAAATCGTGTATCCAGAAGGAATTCAAAAACATTTACTTACCAGCTTACATAAGCTACTTTGAATACTTGCTTGAGTAGAAAGGCAGGAAATAAATTCAGTAAGTTATTTCTAATTTAATTAAAGTCACAATCTCAAATTATAGTTTATGAAGCCACCGTTCAAACAAGTCATAAGTTAACCACAATTTCCAGTGCTAACAGGAGTGAAAATGTCATATGGTTGGTTTCAGAACAGTTCAAAGGTATTGGACTTCTTGTGCTGTATACTGGGGCCCTAAATCATCAGCCCTATCCATGACATAGTGATCTTTGCTAAGGTTATAATATGGGCATAAAACTGGACTTAAATACATACAGGTGTAAAGGAAAATAAGATAATCCGTATTGGATATGTGTCTCTCACCCTTGAGAATGAAGGTATTGTACTTGTGGGTGGAAGAAAAGTATGCCTCTTTCATATCACAGGATGCTTTGAAACAGTTACATATGATTTACAGTTTTGATTTTCTTGTTTTGTTCTCCAAATAGAACTCTCCAAGTAATATGAGTATGAGCAATCAGCCTGGGACCCCTCGAGACGATGGTGAAATGGGGGGTAACTTTCTAAATCCTTTTCAGAGTGAAAGTGTAAGTACTGTATTTTTAATTTTGGTTGTTCTTCTGGGTATACAGCTCTAACTCATCATTTTAGGTGTTGTTTCCATGTATAATAATACTTCTGAATTACTTTCTGGGTTATATGTTCAATGTGGAAAGAAATCAAACTATAAACACTTCTTTTGATATTTGTTAAGCCTGTTTTGCTTATTCCATTGTCATTGCCTATAAAGTTACTAGGAATCTTACATTTCTATTTGCTTCATATGCTGATCACAGTAAGACAACCCTGAACATACTTATTAGCATCACAGAATAATGGGGGTAGAAGAATCCGCAAGGGTCATTTGGTCTATAGTGGCCAGCAAAAGCAATTAAACCATCTTATGGAAGTACCTGTCCAGCCTCTTTTTTTAAACCTCCACAACCTCCTTAACTAGACTGCTTCACCGTTGTACAGTATTTACTGTCAGAAAGTTTTTTCTTATTTTTAAATGAAAATCTAGATATACTGTAAAACTTAGGAACAAGTGCTACAGGATCTACTTCTCAGTAAATACCCATAAAATTATGATATAACTATAGTTTCAATTTTACACAAACAAGAATAATTATTTGTTCCAGGGATTTTGGAGCTCTCGCTTTTTTTCCCTCATGTATGTATGAGTCTGTATCTCTATGTGTGAAGTGTGAAAGAATCAAAAGCGTGTTTTCATTCACCATGAGAACATGTTGCATGTATTTCTACATTCAAAGCTAATTTTGATGTTCCAACAAATTTGAACGTATAGCAAAGAAGGGCAACCAATTAGGAATTGCCAAAGAAGTATATAATATATACAGTAAAGTATATAATAGTGATAAACTGAAATTCCTTTCCCCCATTTCTTTTATTTATTAATAAACAAAAATAAAAACAATACAACAGTGATAACATGAGAAAAACTATTTTTGTTTTTTGCCTATATTGTCTATATATTATTTTTTTTGTTACTAAATCAAAAATCAAAAAAGGATTACCAAAGAAGTTGATACGTAGTGTCATAATATGCACTAATTTCTATTTGCTAAACAGAAATTAATATTTCACAGAATAATTATAGTGATAATTTTACATTCAATTATCTTTTATTAATTTGTACTTTACTCAGATCAAATATATTCTCTTAATTTAAATTTCACCTCAAGATCAAACCGAATCAGGATGGCCAGTATGAAAGATGTTTTGCTGGAAATGTAGTTGTTTCTTAAAGACATTCTTTTTCTCAGTATATTGAACTAATTCATAACCCTACAACTTCTTCCATAAAATATTTACTCAAAATATTTATTCTGTACAAAATTTCCTACAGTTTATCATTAGGATGCATTTAAAGAAACAACTGAGATATATAGTTCCATGTTGTAGGTTAGAACAATTTTACCCAATTTGAGGCTTAGAAGAAGAATCAGAAATGTATATGACATAGTAAACAGCAGAACCAAACCATAATAAATGTATATTTCATGTGAAATTATGTTTCATCTATGGATACACTTATTTTATGGAAAGGATGACAGTGACATGCTAGTGCACATGCTAAAGCAGGAGTTCAGTTCTCATGCTGGTGGACACATTTGGAACTTTGAGAAGATGTATGGAAAGCCTCACAAAATCCTGGTTCTGCTCTGTACTAAAGGCACAGCTGCTTTAAGGAGCAGCTGACAAGTACAACAAGGATAGTCACACCATAGCTGAAGCAATCCTGTCCACACTGGATTTATTGGAATGCTATGTGCCACCCAACTGATCCTATTCCAGCTACCCCTCTCTTTTCTGTGCAGGCTTATACACGTCCAAACACCAATGGCTGTTGTCTGTCAATTTTTATTTTCTAAGAAAACATAAAGGTCCCATTTGAAGCATTTTGGGAAATAAAAATAGTATCAGACATGGGGGCTTTCCTTTACAGTATGCCAACTTCCACATTTTGAAAAAAATAAAGTATTATTTTTAAATGCAACAAGTCATTTAGGGCAGGAAGTTCAAAGAGCATCAAGAAAGTTTACTTTGAGATTTAGACTCAGCTATAAATCAGAATTTTTTTCAGTTAGGCAATCCTCAGCTATGACGTATCAATCATCTTTGTCTCTGGTTTCTCTTCTTTGGTCTACATAACAGGTAGCATTCTAATGTTTTTAATGGAATGTTATTTTTATTTTCAACAAAATAAGAATTATTGGATAAGTAGAATAGAAAACTAATGTCCATACATCAGCCAGAAGAATATGATGGTTAAGATCACTGAATATATCTCCTGCTTAATGCAGGAATCCAAATTAAACATTTTCCCACAGATGGGTATGTAGCTTCTGTTTAAATATACTCAGTATAGGAAAGTTTACCACCTCTACCTATAATTAGTTCCTTTGTCAAGTGTTGACTTTTAGGATATTTTTCCTAGCATTCAATCAGTATCTGCTTTACCATAACTTAAGACCATTCTTACTACACCCTGGAATGATGGAAACAAGTCTTGGTCTTCTTTTAGGTTATAACTTTTTAGGTACATGAAAATGTTGTCATATTCTCAGTCTTAGTTCACTGAAAATACTGGCCCTGCTTCCAGTAGAGGACAAATTGTGCATTATGGCCTCCTCATTTTTTTCAAATTAACACGATAGCAGAGTGTTTCCATTTGATGCATTTGGAGTAATGTCCAGATGTCATAGTCATCTTCTTAGTTTTCAATCTTATCACTGTGTGCACTTAATGCAAACAATTTCTCCAAATGGTATATTAATCCAAATACTGAACTTGCTTTCTTTACCTTTCTTCTTCTTTGTAAAACATATTTTTATATAACATTGAATATAGTTAACAGGCCAAATAGTGATATTTTACACACACACACACACACACACACAAAATTTTAAAGTACAAATGTGTCTATTTAATATGCATATTGTGAAAATGTGATGTATCTGCAAAGTACCAATATTTCAAAGATTTTTTTTTCATTTATTTATTTATTTATTTAAAAGATTTGTATGCCCACCCATCTTAAACCCAATTCTGGGTGGCTCACAACAATAAAATCAATAACTATAAAATCCAAAACCATAAAACAAAACAAAAACCTGGTGCCTCAGTCATCCTTTAGGAGCCTCCATAACCAGCTCCAGATATTCCCATTCTATCCCAGCATCTGGGTGAAAAGCCAGGTCTTGACGGCCTTTCAAAAGGCTGAAAGGGTGGGACCCTACCAAATCACTGAGGGGAGGGTCTTCCATAAAGTAGGGCATCCACAGAAAAGGCCCACTTCCAAGGTCCCACTAGATGGCAAGATTTCAGAGAAAGGACCTGGAGCATGCCTACCTTATCTGATCTGGTAGAACAGGCACATACTCTCAGGGAAAGGTGGTCCCACATATGGGAATGGATAATTCTCTACCCCAGAAAATCTATTAACTGACCACAGTAACATTTTGTCATACTTAGGACTGATAAGGCTTCCCCCCAGACAATTCTTGATTTATTTTATGTACATTTACTTTTATCAGACCAGTATGATTTTGTTTCCTTGAATGTGGCTAAGTTTTGTTATACTGTCTGTTGTTAGACATGCTCTGATCACCTCAGTGACCCAGCTACAATATTATGTTGCGTACTCTTTTAGAAATAGAAGCTGTTTAATTATTTTAATTATTTATTTACTTGTATAATTCTGGACAGTGACCCTAAAATAGGATTTCACCAAATAAAGTAGCATACATTTGCTGTTTATTATATTTAATTATATTTAATAAACAGATAACTGGGTAGGCTAAAGCTTGAAAAAGTCAGTACTTTTTTTCACAGTGACATTTCATATTTTGTTTGAAACTTTCACAGATTACATTATGTATCTCTCAGTCTTTTTAAACTTGATCCCAAATATATTCAGGAAGTACAGAAATTGTTAGCCACAATGGTAATAAATTGGGTTTAAGGGTGTTTCTGAAATGGATCTGGTCAATAAACCACACAAACTTTGAGAACAACTCAGTTAGCTAAAGAATATTAGAGATATTTTTATCTAAATAATCTCTGAAAAATAAGTTTCCAAACAATGGAATGGAAATAATATTCTGAACAATAGTTTTTAGTGTTAGTTTGTTTAGGCCATCTAGTGTTCATTAAGATAAATGTTTAATTACCAACTTTTTATGTTATGACTCTTCAAAATATACTTGATTCTGGAAAAGTAGTTATTTGTTTCATATTTAATTCTAAATAAAATAATGCTTGACCCACCAGCCTATCAATATTTTTGTTCTAAGTGAAATTAAACATTGTTAGTACTAACATGCTACAGATGGATCTGACCTTCTTATTACTGTTCGAATTAAGAGGTTGAAAAATTTCCCCTGATTAAAACCAAATAGTAATATTTCAGTAAAAGAATTGGATATAAATCAGTTTATAGTTTATAAATGTTCATATTCCCAAAATGTTTTAATGTATACAAGAACAATTTTATGTTGTTTATTTCACTTCCAGTATGTTTGTTTGTTTGTTTATTTTTAAATTTGTATGCTGCCCATCTCCCCATACTATTGATATAAATTAACAGTGAGAAAAATATTTGTACAAAAGTTATATACAATGGTAATAAATTGGATTTAAGGGTTTCTCATTTCAGATTAGATTAAACTGGCTTGCTAATTAAAAAATCAGATTTTCATCTTATATGATTAATACAGTAACCCTTCCTTACAATTAAATTATTATTTGAAACCTAACAGAACTGTTTTGGTTTAAGAAAATGCATAACATTGAATGCATTCATATTTATAATCACTTTGTATCAAATTGTTACTGTTACACATTGTTTTGATACAATATGATTTTCATATTAAAATTCAAAGTTAAACAGGTAGTGGAAGAGGAGGAAAGCTCTTTATATTTTTACCTTGGTGCAGTTATTTCTATGGCAAGTCCTTTAATCATTGCAGATCTCACTGCCTCTTTATGATGAGGCAAGATGTTAATCCAACAAAAGAAAAGAGTCTCTCTCTGAAACAGTATCACAAGTTTTTAACATGTTGATATACCATTAAAATGTTGCAATAATTCATCAGTTGCTGAAGTGTAATTATGAAGTTATGAAGTATTGAAATCAGCACTGCTTTACTTTGTTTAAACCAAGAATTCTGTGCAACTGTGTAAAGTAAGGATACATTGGATGAGGCATTTCAGTAACTTAGTCAACAAATTATCAGTAACTCTTAAGCCATGTGATTGTCTACTGCAGTCTTTAAGACAGATGTAGGGCTTGGTTATCCCATTCCCCAGACAGCTGATGTCAGGTTCAGCCCAAGAACAACAGCGAGACAGTCCAGAACAGTTTATCTCCTTTATTAGCTTGCACCTAATGGACAGAATCTCGCCAGACTAATTCTAATCCCCAACAACAGCAGCTATAAACATGATGCCCTGGGGAGGGGCCAGTCTCATCCTCTTGACTTTCCCGCGTTCCAGCTGGGGGCTGAGGAGATGCTTCCCTGGAATCTCTATTCCCCCTCCCGGCAACCTTGAAGCTCCATTCCAGAATCCTCCCCGCTCATGCCTTCCATCACAGCTAAATTGTTATGAGATCCCAATATTTTATTAGACTGAAATCTTGTGGAATTTGATGATCTTAAGAAATGTGGCCATTTTTCCACAAGGTAAGGGGAACAAGGTGAGCTGGTGGCCAGTTGCTGACTCCTGCTGTAGTGATACAAAAACTTGTTCTGCTTTAAATTTCATATTCTAATTTAGATTATGCTATTTTAATAGACATATTAAAAGATATGCACATCAATTTGCACATGGAGGGAGCAGGAGAAAAAACATCTAATGCCTATCATAAATCTTCAGATACTTAAGGGATTTCAGTATCCAAATATTCCTAGCACAATTTTGCTTAATCAAATATTATTATATGGCATGCAAAATTATGGCAAGTTATGACACTTATCTTCATTGCAAAGCCAGATACACATCACATTATGTTAAATTATTATGATGTTAAATTATTATTAATCATGATACTTGCATTTCGTGTTCACTATTAGTATCTTGGTAAATGAGTTGCAGCTAAAATGTGGATTCCTATTTTTCAGTATTCCCCCAGCATGACAATGAGTGTGTGATCCAATACCAAGTCTCTTCGTGAAGGCTGCACTGAGTTGGCCCTCTCCAGAGAGCTACTAAAGAAGAAAAATTATTCATCCCTGTGTACAGTTTAACAGAAAAGATCTCTGCCACATTTGGACCCACCATTATTTTCCAACCATCTTCCCTGTTTTGTGAAGAAAATGGGTCCTGATCTGGTTTCACCTATAATATGTGGCGTATCAGAGCTGCCCAAGACTGAACTGCAAACAATTATCTGTGTATGTATATGTAGGGATAGGTGTATGTATGTGTGTGTTACAGAGACATAAATATGAGCACATACATATATAGACCTGCAGGACGTTGTAAAATATTATCACATGACATCTTAAGTAGAAATAAGAAATAGGGACTTTTATTCCATCTTTTTCACGTTTACATTTTATCTTTTAAAAGACTGCTTCCTTCTTCCCATCTGACCTGTTTTGTGCTGTGTATATCACTGCTTTGTAAGTTATTTTTTTAAAAAGATCTCAGATACATTGTTTTTGTCATTATCAGCCATCATGGTTAGGAATAAAATTGCTTATAAGAGGGCTTTCATAAAGTTTTATTTAATACCAGTAATCATGTGAATTGCAGACTACACTTGCTCAAGGAAAAAAAAAATTTACAAGTGAGTTAAACTTGTTCTTTGCCTTCCTAAAATTGAGAAAAAAGAAATTAGAGGGGTTCTTTGCCCTGTTTCTTAATAAATGCCTAATACTGCAATCCTAAACTTATTTGCATGGTGGTAAACATTGAAACAATTTAGATTTACTCCCAAGTAATATGTTGAGGACTAGGATGCATATCCTTCAATATTTGCTTTCACAGTATGACTGAGGTTAGCTCAACTTTTTGATCTATGCAGAGAAATATAAAACACTTGTTGGGCTTTGATTAAAGTGCTGTAGCATCCAGGAATAAAAATGGCAGGATTCATGTTTCTGCTGTTGGGGAAATACTTAGTATGATCTTCCATAGGTGTTGTAATTATAATAAAAACAGCTATAGATTATATTGCTTCGGCACAATATTTTCCTTTAATATTCATCATAATCTCCTGAGGCTACATAACATACTCCAGTTATTTGATATGCCAAAGGGAAAGAGATAGCAAATTATTTTCCCTCGCTTTACTCACTGGCTTTATTATTTCCTATCCCCATCTCACTATCTATAATTTATCAATATTATTAAGCCACTTTGGATGTTTCTAAAGTCAGTGTAAACTTAAAGTCCTGTAGTATCTTCATGATCAGTAAATTTATTATTACATAAATTTAATGTTGGTTTAAGGTACTTCATCTGTTGCATCAGAAACAAATGCAGCTATTAGTCCGAAAATCATTTTAATTGGCTATATGTTAAGAGACAATGGTAAATTTCATCCAATATCATATTTTCTTGGGTTTCAAATAACTCAGAAATCTAAGATGCTGTATATGAAGAAAGCATGATAATTCCCCCACCTTCTTTATGGCAAATAAATGACGTGTGAAAAATTAACTATTTTATATTTACTCCTATTTTCAATTTTGTGATATATTAATAGCTTATGTTTAGTAATTCCCATATAGTAGCATCTTTTATTATCTGCATATCTAGTAACTTTCTCATTGTAAATGTGGAAGTAGAAATGCTGCCTACAATAGTTGATTTCCATCTACTAGAAGTAACTGGAAATTTTACAATAGTTGCAATCTATCCAGATACACCTCTTGCTGAAATTGCAATGAAAGAGCATTTGAATAAGAGGCAGTACATAATTGTTTTACAGTTCATTCTGATTTTTTAAAAAAGGGGGAAGATCATTCTTTAAATTGTGCTGGTGTTAAACAAAACACAGTCGTGTCATTCCAGGCAAAATAGAATCCACCAATGGAACAAATGTTTCCTCTCACGTGCCAACCATCATATCTGCTCTGGAGGGTTGGGGGACCCTCTAGAGCAAATTTGGATTATACCAGGGGAAGTGGGGAGAGGAAGATGAAGGGAAGTCCCATCATGTAAGCAAAACATGATACTTGCAAAACTTTGGAAATAGCCCTTAAGTATCACCATTGTTTCTACATTAACCTTGAAGAGCTGAGTGAAGTTGCAATGTGTAAACTTACACATGCTTATATTTTTACAAAATCAGATCTATGACTCCAAATACTTTTTCCCCTTTATTGAGCACTCAGAGCAAGACAGTAATTCTGGTTAGTATCCAGTGATGTTATTTTATTCAGAAAAGCTTTTTGATTCAGCCGAACCTTCCACGAACGCAGTGAGGGAAAAGATTGTTTATGCTGATACCCTTTGTCTTCTAAAAATGTATTCCAGGGAATTGAAGACAAAATGGGAAGCAGCACCTTTCTCTCCCTTTTGTTTATGGGAACTTCTGCTGAATTAAAGTGTCTTCTCTGAATTGAAGGACAGTTTTGGATATGATTCCTTAATCCCAGATACTTAATTTTTCAGATACTCATTTTATGCATGTAAAAATCTCTGTGCCTAATTTTTCCAGTAACTCTTTTCCAATATGCCACATAAAATAATAGCTATGAATGCTTGTGCACATAACATCTAATGACAATGCTAACTATACATTGTATTTTTGTTTAGATTCTTCTGTATGTTCTAGTAAATTATTTATAGAATTTGGCAATATGCAGAACAAAATTAAAATAGATTACTGATTTTCAGTCATTTGATTTATTTCTTACATGTTAAAGATCCACATGTACTATATGTCTTATAGCCCTATATGAACCTTAATTCCAAGGTTCTATCTCCCATCCCCAGAAAAGTGCATTTTAGAACAATTAAGATGAACCTATATTTTACCTTGGGAATTTTTAATGAAATTTCTACAGCAGAGGCTGAGTGGAAACAGTTCACAGAGCATGATACATATATGGACTTCTTAAAAGGATGGTGTGTGATCAGAATGTTATCTTCCTTTTGGATCCTGCTTAAAAATATTCCTGAAAAATCAAATGAATTAATACCTGTGCCTCTCTAGAAATATTCTGAAAACTTTGCTAGAAATTACTGAAGACAATGATAAATAATTAAATTGGAACTGGTTTTATAACCATGAGCAATACATACATACGCGCACAGAGAGAAAGAGAGAGAGAATTAAAATCCCTGAAATAGATTGGGTATCAAGTAATGAAGATACAGGACATAATCCATTTTGGTAGTTTCTACATGAAATGCTTAAAATGAATTTAAAATTTTTGCTTTAAAATCAGAGTGAGAATGATCTGAATTTGGTGTGCTTTTCTTTATTCTCATAATTTGTTGTATACATAGGTTCAGAAAAGGTGGTATAATTTACAGTTTTCCTTCAACTCGCTTTCACCAAGTCCTATGCTTCAGCCACAATATGGACAGACCTCCACATAAAAGCAAACAGTGCTTCAAGCTTCTAAGTCACAGTAACCAAATTTTTATTTGGAAGTTTTTCATTTTTGCCTGATTCATCAGATTATCATCAGCTGAACTTTTGGTTGCCACTATCCTGGCCTAATTGGTGCATCCCAAATATTTTCTCATCTCTAAACCAGGTTCTAGTGAAAAAAAAAAAAACTAGAAAAGCTGACATCCAAAAAGCACCTGGCTGATTTAAATATTGACATCCTTAATGTATAAGCTTTTTCCAACTGAGCTTTTTAGGAAAAATGATGTAATGCTGATTTAAATATGCATATTTCAATCCAGTTACAGTAAGCAATGGGCTAACTCACATGTAATGCCAAGCAATCAAATTCAATTCCTTACTTATAATCCTGGTGTATAGGGCAAGCACAAATTGAAGTCTGCCGTCTGCATATAACAGCCATAAATGGTTTCCCTAAACTCAGAAATAACCCATTAAGTAGAAGATGCAGTGCAAAGACAAGAGGAAGGAATAAGCACATGGCTTGCATATGTAGCACCAAATGATGATATACCAAATCCTTTTGAAAACAAAGGAATGTAAATTAATCATAACTATGGCAAGAGAGAGACTATTTGGTTGATAAGAGTAGCTATTTTGTATCCATATGGATTACAACCTAGTGTCAAAAATCAGTTGACTAAAAGTCATTACTATGTTTATCATAATTGTGATTATATGTCAATATGCTGGATGTAACAAAACTATGAAATTAGATGGTGAATTTCTTGGAGAGGATTAATTAAGTTGTACATTTTTATTCTTTTACATTGGTGTCACACATTTTTGCCAATAAATATTGCACTGATTTTTTTTTGGAGTCCTAATGTATTTATATATTTATTCCCTGATTTCTGTTTTGAAGAAATTCATGTTATTGTGAGCAGACCTGACATGCAGTTTTTAACAATAGTATTGCCATGATATACTTGAGTGAGATGGGCGGTGACTAAATTTAGAAAATAAATAAATAAATAAATAAATAAATAAATAAAATAATCTAGAAAAAGTAGTCAAAAAGAGTAATTTTTTTCATGCAATTTATTGAAAATTATTGTACAACTTTAACCTCCATTCCACTCAACAGTACTGTTATTTTAAGCATGACTGTAGTGAATAGGAATGTGCACGTTAACTCTTTTGCTATATTAAATCTTTTTAAAATACAAAATGAAATTTATTTCAGTTTACAATTTAGTATCAAAATACAAAAGTTCATATTTCTAGTTTGCATATGCTGTAAAATTATTAATGTGATTATATGACACAAAACTCTCTAATTGTTCTGATGTGCATTTAGAGATCTATGCAAACAGAAGTTCTCTCATTCTTTCCAATGCCAAGGAATACCATTCATGCATTTGTACATGGAACATTTCCTGACTGTTGAACAGATTGGTCAAATCTTGGTCATGTAGAAAATTCCTTATACTAACTAAAGCTGTTCCTTTTTCATTGGGACTCTTAACTAGGGCTTGATCGGGTTCAAGGCCGCTTCAGTTAAAAAGTCACCCAAGGTTTGTGGCATTAAGATTTTATGCCTTTCCAAATGATGGCATTCTGGATAGGCAGGCAGGAAGACAGACACATGCACAGACTCATATACTTCGGTACAAAACTAACTGGGTGATTTAATTATGGTTAGCCTTTATAGTGCTAAAGATTTTTAGTGCTATTCTTTTTTATTTGAACACTGCTATTGAACATGCTGATTTAACCTGTTTTAAAAGTTTTATTTTTTGAAAAAGTAATAGAGTAATATATACATTTTGGTCATTTACATTCTCAGTATAATGGGAGCATTTGCTATAGATGTATATAAAGATGTATGCCCTTTTTAGTACATAAATTTTTGGATAACTGAAAGATTTATAATTTGACATCCACAGCCTGGGCAATTTCAGTATTTTATTTTTAAAAGATTTAGAAAATAAATGGTTTCCCTTAATTAAATTCATAACAAAGAAATAGAATAATAAGGTTATGGAAAAATATGATCAGCTCATCATAATTCTGCATTATTCTGGACACTATTTTCCAACTGTATCACTAAAATGAAATATATGTCAGTACTCAGAATTGATAGTTTTTCTAATTTAACACATGCTGGAATTGAGTCTTAAAGGCTTATGGCCATATTATGAACATCCATGTGAGCATTTACAAACTTTTTTTTTTTTTAACTCATTTAGCATCATTTAGAACAGTGTATACTATGACATGTAGAATTTGGCATGAGAAATAATGGCCCTATATGCACTGGGATTTGGGGGATTAGTACTTAAAGCTTGTTTAGTAAATTTGCCAATGATTGTCCTCTGTTTCCAGTAATGTTTAATTTGGATGAGCCTGATAAAGCTAAAGCTAAATAACACAATTTGAATGGGAAAATAAGCATTTATTTTAACCTCCACTATTGCTATAAAGACATTAAGCATTTCATTTTGGACAGAATTCCACTACAGTTGCTATTTGTATATCCCTGGCCAGTTGTATATGTGTACATCTTCTGAGTGATGTTGAAAACTAGATTTTGGTTTTTGGTTTTGTTTTTCAAGAAAATGGTTCTAGCGGAAGACATTTAGATTTTTGTATTATAAAAATATTGATAGAAACAGCATTTTCATTTTTTTTTCCCGGCAAATAGGAGGGAATACTTGCTCTGTAGTCGAGAGAAATACAGGGATTTTCCTAGAATATAGGAAAACTGAATCTCAGTAAAATTTCAGGTTTTAATGGGGGGGAAGGACATTAGGACATTTAAAGTACAAGTTTTTATTTAGCAAACCATGTACATTTCTGCAACACTAGAGTATAGGCAGCAGTAAAGCTTATTTTCAATGCTTGCCACAAAAATCTTATAGAAAAACTACTTCGTGAATCCATGCTTTACTTTTTACATGTGCAAAGTACTATTATTAGAAATAATCCACTATGTTTATAAAAGTGGAAGCCTTATTCCAAATGTAATGCTATATTTTGCATTATGCTTCTCTCTAACATCCCATAGAATACGTGCTGAGGGCAACCATATAAATAATGCAAACTGGATTTTACAAGTCACCAGAAAGCAGATCACAATAAAGCATATTTGAAAACCCTGTTTTCCTCATATCTCTATTCTTTTTTTCACAAAAAGTTAGAAGCAGTCTGTACCCTTCTAGATTTTGCTAAGCTCCTGGCCCTTGTCTCTGACTATTGGCCTTGCCAACTGGAGCTGATGAGTTATGCGCTAAAAAGTATCGGTTTTTTTTAAAGAATATTCTCCAACTTTTAAGATCAGATCAAGAGCTGAACAAGTCCAGCATTTGGTTTCTTAAAATGGCTGTTGTGTTCCCAGGAAGAACTCGTACATACAAACAACATAAAAATGTCTCTGTATTCCTAATACTTGGGCCTGCAATCTCTGAATATTAAAAGTCCATCAGTCTATAATTTCCAGTAGCCATAAATAGGTGAGTTTGAAGCTGCCTTGTTTGTTAAGTCATCGATCATGAAATTTCAGAGTTGTGATTCTGTTGGATAAAAATGCTTTTATTATGCCATTGTCTGAGGGCAGCCCTTACCATGAAATAGATTATCAGGTACTTCTGTTGAAAAGTTGTCTTCCTCCTTTCATTGTAGTTCAACTATTTCCCCCCTATACTGCATCTTTCCTTGGTCTGTTTCATATTGCATCACTCTAGTCTTCTAAAAACAGAAGTGAAATATCAGTACTAAAATTTCCACAGCAACAAGCTTGTTTCAACCTATTACACATTAATGTATAGTACTGTATCTGTGTAAGTATTTTTACTGAAAGGAAACACATTATCAGGCAAAGGCTAGAATATAAGGAATACAGGAAGGAACTTGAAAAGGTTGATATAAAAATGGATGTGTATGTGCTTATATTTCCATACTTTACATGGTTTTCCCAAGAGGTTATTTGTTATGTTAAATATAATCTATTTTTTAAAAAATCTAGTTCACACTAAAAAAAATTTTTTTTAAACTATTCAAGAGGATGAAGTATGGTCACAGGCTTAATAGGTATTAGTTTCATTTTTCTAGGGAAGGTTAATGTATTATTTAAATCAGTAAATTTCTGAGTTTCTTACTTTAAACAAGCTCCAAGACCTTCAGAGGTCATTCTGTATTTTCCTGTATGAATTTCCCCATCATGACACACAAGTTCAGATTCTCAGAACCCTAGCAGAGCAGAAAAAAATTATTCTGCAGAGTGTAAAAACATAAAATCTTTTACAGAAATCCCAATGTTACAATAAATATAGCTGGCTTTTTAACAGAATGGATAGTGAAATAGCTATTTATAAATGTTGTACTTTGGTGTGTTGATATATATCAAGAAATCAGGAGTTGGATCCAAAATACATCATTAATGAACAGGTGCAGAATCTCAGGGCTGCATATGAGCTTGAATATCTTGGTTACAGGTTCAACTATATGTGACCAAATATAATTTAGTGGGACTAATTATATTTATTTAAAATTGTCCTAGTTGCAGCTAATTTTTAGAATGTGATCACTCTAGCAGTTTCCAATTGTATTCTTTATAAGTCACGTAATAATTACTGGCAAAATTTATTCTAGTATAATTTGTCAATTCAATCCATGTAATGCATTGAAGAAGCTGCAGATTTCATTAAATATGTTCAACTGTATCATAACACCTCAACAGTTCTGCCCAGAAGTAAATTCTATTGTATGTGTAAGGTTACAGTCAAAATAGCTTTACTTTAAGTATGTATGAATTTAATGGAAAGCTAGCTAATGAAAACATTCTGCTGTACATTTAAATGTTTTGTCTAGTAAACACTCATTTTAAAAATTAGACAATATATAGTTTACAAGTGATGTCTGTCAATATGAGTAATGTCCATACTGATTAAAAAGAAACATTCTAGAGGCAAATCATAGGACTTATGAGTGAAATTTATTCCCAACTACAGTTGGAACATTAATATGAGATCACATATTAACACAATTGTTTAATGAATTGAAAATATTCTTATACACTTGCCTATTGTGTAAATTTTTCTATGGTTCCCTATAGCAATTTATTCCTCTAGAAAGTACACAGTTTTAGACACTCTGTAAATTAAATAGATTTTAAACAAATCTTATTGAATTGTCATTCTAAAGTATC